GAAGACGGTCGAGATGCCGTCTTGCACGTCTACGCTGCCAGGTCCGACGGTGCTACCGCTCCCCTCCAGACGAAGCTGTCTCAAGACGCTGCTCACCGAGCCCGAGGTGCTCGAGGCATCCGAGGGGATCGTGATACCAGTGTGATAGGCTGGTCCCGGACCGGCCGGACCATAATCGGCAGGAGGCAGGGAGTGTTCAAACACGCCTCCGGTACCGTCGTCGTTACCGCCGGCCCAGAGAGGCAAGAACTTCAACTCGTTGTGGTGCAGCTTCAGCAGCAAGTGCGGCGTCAAGTTCATCCTAATCTCGAAGTCGGCACGGACGCATTCCTGGTAGAACGGTTTGAGGAAGTCCTGGAGGGGTTTCTGGAATTCGCGGGTGTCGAACGCGTATCTGTAGGCCCCCATCATATCCAATTCGCGGGTGTCGAACGGGTTCTTCATGGAGAGGGGGCGAGGGAGGTTCAGAACGGCCATCCAGGCGCCGTCCCAGGCGAACTCGGGGTGCGCGACGAGGACCTCCTTTAAGTGGTCCCACAAGGTCGTGACCAACTTGTACACATTCATTTGGCCCGAGGCGCTTGAAGTGTATATTTCGCACAGAGACACCCATTTGTTTCCAACCGTCTCGTACATGAAAGTGCACAGAGCCTTCTGCACGTTGTTGAACTGGTTGTAGATGATTTCGAAGCGGTTAAAGTTCTGAATGTCGACGTAGCTGGCTCGGTGGTCGTCAATCTTTTGGAGATCATCGGCGTCGAGAGGCTTTCTAAGCAACTTGTAGACCACGTGGTTTTCCCATAGAGTCTTCAGCGTAAACGATACCGTCATCGCGGAGACCTTGGCTTTGACCATGACGGGGTCATCTGGGCAGCTCGAGAGCATGCTGATGAGGTTCTGCAACCGCGTCCACTCCGGAATTTGCAGATCGTCGAAGATGGTCTCGCTGACCAGCTGGTTGACGGGCCACGAGACGCGCTCGACCATGGCTCTGGCCGCGTGCTGGATGAGGTTGTTCAAGTCGTCGCCGGGATCGTGACGCTTGCGTCCAAAAACGGTGTAGGTTGCGGCTTTGGGCGTTCCCTTCACATCGGCGGCTTCTTCCAGAGCAAGCTCATTCACCAGGATTCGGAACGCTGAGCGGGTGACAGCCTCCAGCTTCAGGGCGACACCGAGTTGAAGACTCTCTTCGGGCAACACTTCGATGAAGGAGGTATTGTTAGGAGACGTGATCCACTGAAGAACTAGATCGCGCTATTGATCATGTTAGAATCAAACAAAGTCGATTAGGGTGGCGAAGAAACTCACCACAACAGTGGTGCAGTCCAAAATCTTGGCAACTGCCACCAGGGTCCAAACTCGAGCGGCCGAATCGATGAAAACTCGCTTGTTTGCAATGATGCACATGAGACGCAGAATGTTGACGCGATGGCGGATCGGGCAGTAGTCCGGGATGCGTCTATAGGGGGGAACTGCGGGAGCAGAAAAGTCTCCTCTAGACTTCTTCTCCAGAACCCTGGCAGCCAATCCCTTGTCCTCACTGTACAGCCTCTCCTTATTCTTGCCGTTCTCCGGAATGACATCGCGCAGACTCTCTCTGATAGCCGAACTGATGGCGTACTCCATCTCCGGGTCCCGTTCCTTGTTCTCATCTCGGGACGCTTCGCTCGCTGAGATCTTGTCGATGATCGTGTTGAAGCTATCGACCTTTGCTTCTTTCCAACAAGAGCAGATATCGTCATGGCCACGCACGACGTAGTCGTCAACATCGTGCTTGTCGAAAGCTGTCCACCAATTCATGATGCCCGGTGTCAGCGAGGCTTCAGTCATCTGAAAGACGAGATCATCGCCCTCGGAAGGAGGGGTAAGGTCCAAGACGTATTTGATGCCCGGAGGAAGATTCTTGGCAATCTTGCGCCGACGCTGGACACGGAATTGGTAGGTAGGATTCAGCATCTCCGCGAACTTGGAGGATCCAGTGGCCAGGAGCTTCTCAGAGGGCATCCGAAATCGGACCGAGTTCCATGCGTAGATGAAGCAATCAACGCTGTCTGCTGGGTTCGCAGGAGCAGGGAAGTCCACGAAGATCAAGGTATCGCCTTCGTTGAGTTCATTCTGAATGTCGTGGAGAAGGAACTGGGAGTATCGGCGAGCCTGACTGTGCGGCATGTTGTTCTCAGTGGCGCGTGGCCCCTGTTGCGATCGTACAAAGGTACTGAAGGTATTGAATGTCTGCGACGGGACATTGATACTTGCAAAGGGATCTGGGATATCAGTTGTCTCTTCGGGAGATGTTCCTTCACGGAATGTTGCTATAGGAAATAGCTCTGTAGCCAAGCGCTCAAGCAAAGGCTCCTCAGAAGCTTGCTCTCGGAGCGGAGGCCCAACGTACGTGACGCCGCGACCGGACTCATCTTGAGCACCGCCCCGGCTCTCTTCTTGGTCTTCGTCCTGAGGGGCCTCCCACCAGTCCATGACTACAGGAGACCAGTCGTTGTCTGCAGCCGCTGGCGGCGCCTTGTTCTCGTCCGAGGCCATCGCTGCGACGAGATCAGGATATAGGCAACGGGAACTGAGTTAATGTTGAGATGAGGAGGATCTGGTCCTCTGAGCTCTCACACCGATGATGACTGACACAAAGTAGCCCGGAGATTGACCACGTCGAAGTTAGAGTAGCAATCAAGGGTATGAGTAGCTTCTCTGGCAATCAAAACTAGCTTGGCGAAAAAGCCTGGTTGAAAGAGTTGAAGAATCGCAAGGCAACAAGTCCGCCAGTTCGCAGTCTCGATACCCAAAAATGAAGATTGCTGGGGGTGCGTAGCCTTGTCCAGGCAGCAAGGTCTCAGGGAGTCAGATGCCACCCAGCGCGGTTCTAAACACCGTCGGCAGCCTCAGCCACGCGGCTATTCTGGCAAGAGCGTCGAAGAGGAGATGATTGGAGAGAAGCCGCTCGCGAGAATCGCCTGATGGATTGCGATGCTGTATGATGGTGGATTTTGCAACGAGAATGCGATGTAATCAGAAGGAAAAGAATGAAGCTGTGACAGTCAAGGTTGACAGAAAGATGAGAAGCATGGATGGAGGGGTAAGAAAAGGTACCTTCACTGTGCCCCGGTGACATGAGACCGTGTCTAGGAGTTATGCAGGCAACCAACGTGGCTTTCTACCAAACTAGGTACAAGTGTTCGGTTATCGGGTACGGTGAGCAGACTGCGGGAATGAGAAAGATGACTGGATTTCCAGGTATTAGGTAGGCAACTCGTGACTTGAGTGACTCTACTGCGAGTGCAGAAATGACTGGTATGTCGAGGTGCTTTGATCTGGCTCGGCTTACACCTTGTGAGGGGCAGGGATACAGCTGTGGCATTACTTCCAGTACTTAAGGTACATAAAGATGGACAAAGCTCCCAGAATTCCGGAGTGGCCACATACAATAAAACCGAGAGGAACCATTGGCAGCCAGTGAGTCTTTCAGAGCTTTCAAAGGTGAGTGCAAAAAGAGGCCAATCTAGGCGACAGAAGACGGCTAACAGCGGACCCCGAACACACTTCTGTTCCCCTTCCTCTTCAAAGTAAATGAAGGCGATGCGGGACAGAGTTGGTGGGCGCCTATCAGCCCAAACCAGGCAGTAGTAATTGAAGAAAGCCACGGAAGGGTCACCCTATTGTACTGGCAGGCCTACCATCAACAGATGGGGGGGGGAATGGACAAAGTATCTTGTCCTCGTGGCTTTGTAGTAAGGCGATTTCTTTAAAAAACCACCGCACATAACCAAGGTTTCCCAAGACTCATCGATACTTTAGCCTCCGTGCCGCTGTTGCCTGCTCGGGTGGCCAAAAGTGGGGGAAGCGGGTGACGTACCTTGTGCTTACCTGAGGTGTCTCCAAATACCGCGCCCGGGGATCAGCTTCCAGCTCCGTTCCGGCCGGCCGGCGCTGTGTGGACCAAGAGCTGGAGGTCCGGTCTGCTTGGCCCCACTTCCATACCGACGGGCTTGACAAAGCGACTCTTAGAAGAAGAAGAACATAATCCAATCCCTTCTGTTGGGAAGATCTTACCCTGCCTGATTGAAAGATACATCGGAGAAATACCACCTCCACTGTACACTCATACTGAGCGGGGGCTCAATTTTGACTGGCAAACAAAAGCATGGGAGCATAAGCACCTTACCTGATCGCATGTCAGAACAGAGGACAAGGGCAAAATTTTATGTTCTGAGCGTATCGACGTGATGTAATGACGGCTGTTCCTCTACGGTTTCCCATAATCAATGCATCGATATTTATCATTGGGAGCTTGTAATGGTGCTGGAACCTTTCTAGTACCAATGGCTGATCGCATGTACTTCATTTGTACGGCATTGAATAGAGAATTCTTCTAACAGCTCACACAGTGGACGGGAGGATGAAGAATCCAGAATACTGGCCCCACTCGCTGTTCAGTGCTTAAGGTAGATGCCTCAGCTTCCAACGGTAATAGTCGTCCGACTGATGGCTACTTGCCTTACTTCCAGCACTCGTGGCTTCCTAAAAGAATTCAAATTCCGAATTTACAACGCCAGCTTCTCAATTTTCTTCACCTCGATCAACATAATTTTCTCCCAAAATTCCTCGACGACTACCACTCTTTCGGGCACGCATTTGATGGGAAACCTTGAGGGTGCCTCTGCCGTCAACTTTACAAACTCCTACACCGAACAATGATACCGCATTCACTTGAATTAGATATGTCGGATACACGCCCCAAGTTCGTTAAGATACCGGAGGGCTGGCGATGCAAATCAGGAGAACTCGAACGATCCATACGACCACCGCCACATGACTGCTCCAAATGTCAGGCAGGGTACTACACTGAGAGCGAACAGCGTGGGTACAGGTATTCCTACCATCACAGTATCTCAGATACCTCTGCAATCAAAATAGCGTCTACATACGTCAAAGCACTTCAGGAGAGCAGAAAGCACATCACAAATCGACTGCGCTCCCATGCTGATCTCCTTATGAGCCGCTGGCGGAAGCGAAGCCAGGAAGAACGTCGCGAGCTGCTGCACAAGGCCGTGCCTGAGCTCGAGGAATCGCAGTGGATCAACTCCAGATACGGATACAGTGACGAGAGCTTTCGATTCGGTGAGCGAACTGCGCAAAGGCGACGCCAACTTTTGGTTCCATGGCTCAATGTCGAAGTGCTCAAGACGAGCCCGGCCGTCCTGTTCGCCCTCCTTCATTATCGAACTCTATATCCGCCAGAGGACTTCGCTGCGCTAGACTGTCATCAGATGGAGTCATCATGGGCCTGCGGATATTTTGACGTCGAGTTCTCTGCCAAATGCGTCGTCATGTCCGGACCACAATACGGCGATGTTGTCGACTGGAAAGCCCAACAGGCGCACACCGGATACACTCTAGGCTTCCCTCGGGCGCGACTTGTACTCGAAGCCCAAACCTTCCTCACGCAGATTCTTTCCAGAATCACGGATAACATTCTTGAGGGTGCAAATGCTGCAAGTGCCAGTGCGGGAACGGATAAGTGGAGAGATCTCACGTCAATTGGTTTCCGACACCCCGGGGAGAAGGAGCTCTGGTCTCCCTACACCAACCTAGCCTTCTCTCGGCCTCCCAAGCTCGACATGGACTACATCTTATCCATGGCCCAGACGCGCAAGGAAGAGGCAATCGACTATCTCATCAATCTTCAGTGCGACCCAGGATATCTTCGCCGGCAAATCAAGGGTCTCTTCAGCACCACGCTATATCGCGCGGCAGATACAGAGTACGCGGCAGCGATGGTGGCTGACCACATCTATATGGAGTATCATCGATACTTCTGGTGGTACTGGATTGAGGTTGAGTGCAAGCATGTGCGGGATCTACGCGACAAATTTTCAGACAGTACGCATCCCGGCCAGTCAATCCCTCCCAAGTACGACCTGGCACTTGGTGCTTTGGAGCTTCTCCTCAACGATCAAGGCATAGAGCGGACTGCTCGCTTCAAATGTCTCATGCCCTGGTCTCCGGGACAGGAGAAATACTACAAACTGCCCAAGAGACCTGGCGTGTCCCTGGAGACGATCCTTTCCGGCGTGTCGCGGGACTCGAATCCATACACAAAGGAAGCTCTAGAGGAAGACCCGCTCGATTGGTGTCTCCATCAAATGTTGGCCAAGCCTGACGACCAGACACACATTGATCACGCTATCCTCTTTGCAATGATTGACGATCATCTGGCCAAAAATGACAGAAAGGAAGCAGCCCGTCTTAATGAGTTCCTCCTGCGCGAAATGGCAGACATTTCCGCCCTTCATGAGTCACTGACTTCTTTGCGCCTCAATCGACCTCGGAACACCTCCAGGGAATTTGAAGACGTGTTTCGGACGGAGAAGCGTGGAATTTGGAGTTATATGAAGGATAATAAGCCCAAAGAACACTCATGGCAAGAACTCAAGAAGCTGGGGAAGCCCCTTGTAGACGGCTTTTACAAAGGAAAAGCTCCCAGCGGCGTGAAAAACAAGGCATGGCTGCAGCAAAGCCAGACTATGCGAGGCTTTGTCGAGGGATTCTTCAAGGAAGCGGAGAACGTTATTCGGAAAGATCTCGAACGAATTGGCCTTGAAGCGGAAACCATCGAAGAGACCCTAAGTGTTGTGCTTGTCCAGAACAAGCCAGAATATCTGGAAGCGATCGCTCGAGAAGAAGAAGAGATCATGGCCAAGATCACCGAGGCCGAAAAGCCTGCCCCAGACACCTTTCTAGACAGAAGCACAGCGACGGAGGGAATCATTCGAGCTGATCTGGTCCAGACGACTCAACGAGAAAAAGTCAAGACCCGCCCCGACAACTCATCCTCGAGCTCCCAGTCGGTCGATGACCCGGAGTCTCCCGATATCGCCACACTTTCTATCGAGCCGGTCACACGACTTCGTGTCTCCCCGCGCACTCTTGGAGTGGTCCACCTCATGTACCCCGATGCGCAAACAAAGCCGAGAAACATCACATGGGACGACTTCGTATACGCTCTATGTGATGCTGGTTTCGTTGCGAGCAACAACGGCGGATCGGCGGTGCGGTTCGAGCGAGGATCAAGAGGTGGATCCGGCGATAAAGGGGCGATCATCTTCCACAAGCCGCACCCGGTGCTCAAGATCGATCCCGTCATGCTCCATGGCATGGGAAGACGGCTTACAAAGTGGTTTGGTTGGACTCGTGACTCATTCGCCGCTTGAGCTTCACAGGAGGGTTAGAAAAGAGTTTCGAGGGTGGATGAGCTCGGACCCAGGCATGGTGGTGGAATAAAATGGCGGCTTCTTGGAGCACATGTACGAATAATCTTGGGGTTTGTCCAAGTCAAAATGCGACGAGGGAGGGAGATAAGGCGTTTTGAGATGAGAATTTAGGGCTTGTAGGAAACTCTCTACACCGTATAGTGTGCTGTTGACCTTGGGTACCTCACATTAACACGGACTAAATTGCCAGAAAAATGCTCCAGATCAGCTCTATGAACTGACCGTGAACTGGACGGTCAGGAGCCAGCCTTTTCCATTTCATGCTGATACGTTGCTTCCATGTCTGATTTGAGCATTTGTGAATCTAAATAATTGCAATACATGCACGTGGTATTCTGAAAGGCACGTACCTATAGGTGAGGTGGTGGAAGTTGAAGGTCGGGCTGAGCCCCGGAGCGGACCCCGAATACCGGCCCCACTCATCCGTTGCCCCAAAAGCCGGCTGCCGAGGTAACATTCCGAGGGATCGTGTCAGAACCATATCACTCTACCCAAAATGTGATGACATTGACGAAACCTCGGTCACTCATGAATCATAAGTTGATAAGCTTATTCAACCCTGACTCACACCCCACGAACTTTTCAATTGCCGCATCATTAGGTAGGATTCAGGAAGCTCCCGCAGGAAAGCTTGTTCCGGAAGCAAGGTTCCTCAGGTAGGGCAGCTCTGCCCGCTGCCAAAAGGGTCGTTCCGCACTGATGCATTTTCGTCCGAGCACCCTCCTTTCCGCAAGAGGAGAGGAAAAGGAAAGAAAAGTTGGAATGGACAGGATGATTCCCTGGCTTTAGGGGATTCCCGATTGGCAGTCGGCGTACATAAACTTAGTATCGTCAGTTCATTCTCATTCTCATCCTACATCCACGACGCATCCTGTCCCCCTCCTTCCAGATTCCCACAGCTTGACGCTTCAAGCTTCAGAGCACTCACTCCAGAGCTGCGTGTTTCCCAAGAGCTCCCCCGCACTCGGCAGGGTCATCGACTCAATAACCTGAGTTTAGTGGTGTTCTTATCAGTGTGGCATTGTTTCCAAGTTCTATTCCCTGCCCCCGCCGTCGGCTGAAACTTGGCCCAACTCTAAAATCAAACAATCCAGACCAGCGAAGCGTATGCTTCCGCATCACGCATTGGATGCATGCGCAACTTGCGTCTAGCTGCACACACGTGCCGCCAGTTGGCGCCGTCTCGAGAAAGTCATCCAGTCTAGGTACATTAGCAGCAGTATTACACATATCTTACTACAGTGAAAAAGCATTTCCCTTCTGTCCGAATATGCACTTCATTCGACGTCCCAAATACATCCCCAGTCTTCTTACATCCTCAGTCTTATTCACATCCCCAGATACGCTTCGTCATAGTCTTCTGTCTATGCCTCGATCACTCAGGTCGCCCTGACCGCCATTACCTCTTCAAACCTGTGCCTCCCACGCAACCCTGTCCCCAGGATAAGGGTAGCTGGGCGCGCAGGTATCAATTTACCCCATAGACAAGGTCTCGGCTCGGCTTCCAACCCAACACCAGCCAAGCTCCAAACCCCAACCGTCCAATCACATCCCCTGACCCCAGAAATCAGATACCGCACCGCCCGCCGCCAACCTGCGTGTCCCGCATGTCGCGTGTCCCGCTTCCCCCCTCCATGTCTCCGTGTGCCTTCAGCTCCCTTCCCCCCGCCAAAGTTCTCACACGCCACCATCAGCAAAGCACCGTACCACTGCCCACTAGGTACCCATCGCCACCGGTTCCAGACCAACACACCACCCACTCACACTGCCTCTACCTCTCACTTCCGTCTCTCCCTATTCGCAGCAGCAATATCTCCCTTTCCCTTTCCCTTGACCGCACCGCAAAACCCATACCACGGCATTCGTTCCTCACGTCAAATTCCCCCCTCTTAGGATTCCCATCCCCGGTCTGTCAGTCTGCCAGTTTCAGGCAGGGTCTAGACACAAACACACTCACACTCTGCTGATCTGAGCCGCAATTCCAGTTCCTTTGTCCTCTCTTCTCATATCTTAGTAATAAGTACCCCAAGACAAGAGAGACTGTACCTATCACCCATCAGCCGTCCGATCCCCAAGCTTCCTTTGAACACAAACGCACACACCAAGCGGCACTAGTGACATCTTCCCCGTCCTTCCCCAACAAAAACACTTTGTGTGTCTACCGATGATGCCCCCCCTCCCCTCCCTCCCTCTTCTTCTCCACGTATGCTGGTGTGCCGCCGCCGCCCCGGCAAAGCTGGGGATGGGCCAAGCTAAGAGGCCAAGAGCTATCGAGGACGTCGAGCCGTCTACTTAACTGGAGAACCCCCCTTCTCGATCTTCTGCTCATTCTCCATGTACCTAGTTTTGGAAATACCACATTGAGAAGTGAAAATCCCATCGTGAACAAATCAACCATCCTCATCCAGCTACCGTCCAGCAAAACATACCTACCTACCTGTCACCATGCAACCCAAAGCCGCAATGCCCGTCCCTCAGATCCGCCCGGCAATGTACGTCTTCTCCCCCTTCCTCGCTCACACACTCCCTCCCCTCCCTCCTCCCAAAAAGCCGCCGGTATCTGCGTCATCTTCATTGAATTATCCAACACAAGAAAACTAACCTGTCCACACACAGCCGCCACCGAGGTCTCATCGTCGTAACCGCAGCCGTCACAGCCGTCGCCGTAAGCTTCAGATACACCGCCCTCTCCCGGAGAACAAACGACCAGAACCAGTGCTCCAGCAATCCCTACTACGTCAGCGTCGACCGGAGCGGCGGCGGGATCTAGAGTCTAAAAACCCTCGAGTTTGAAAAAGAAAAAAAGAAAAAAGAAAGAAGAAAAAACACAAACACCAAAACCATATACCCAAACGGTTACGAGACACGGAATGGTTCGGTATAAGGGGAAACTGGGAAGTCACATATCTTAATGAATATTTGTCACGGCGTACCTCACAACTCATCACCTCAACCTAAACAACATGCTGCAAACAACCTTCAGTCTTAAACGGCTGTATCTGAGGAGCACATCAATGGGGGGCGATGATCAAATTGAACTTTTATGTAAAGTATGAATACAGGAGACTTGGATGATCTGTAGTGGGATGGCGGCACTCAGATCCAATCCAGAACCAGATCTATCAAAAGAACAGACCAAAAATTCCACAATCATTACTCCATCCACATGTCCAAATGCAATCGCAGCCAGCTAACGATGTATATGCGGCATGCCTCGGAAAAAAGACAAGAAATAACACAGAAACAAGAAAGGCAGGGGAAACAATAATGCACATATACAACTAACCTCCAAAGGGAGGAAAACAAAAATCGTCTCTCTTGGTTCCAAACGCCCCAGCGATGCGGATGCCGGTAATCACCAACCATGACCTTGGTATAGCGCGCCGGAAAATGCCCAGCAAAATTTTCAAACCGCGACTCCCCTCCCCTTTTTACATTGAGCTTCGCTTCGTCGGTCCCATACCTGGACCCTCGCTGTCAGACTCGTCGCCTGATGAGTGTGCCGGCTCCTTACCCTTGCCCTTTGGCTTGTCCAAGGGGCCTAAATTGCTCTTACGGCTGGCCGGGCGTTTGCCCGTCGTTCTTCTCACCATCTTTGGTCTATCGCCGCCTCCCTCTTTCTGTCTTGCGATTTCGGGGCTTGTCAGCCCTGCAACCTTTTGCAGCTCCTCGCCTGATGAGTTGCGGCGAGTAGTAGGCGCCGTCGAGTTGGACGTCGTCTTCAGCCCGCGCAGCTCCCTCGCGACGTCTGCGAAACTCTCTTCCAAGGTCTTCATGCGCGCCAGGACAAGCTTGCTCATCCGGTTGCTGTCACCGGCATCCTGGCCTCGTCCCGCACCGCCTAGTCGTGCGTCCTTCATCATAGCCATGGCCATCTGTGTTTGGAAGCTTGAAGGCATGCCTCCCGTTGGGTCATCAGGAACGATGTTTTCGGACAGAATGCTCATGTCAACCGAAGACAACCTTCTAAGGGGGTTCGGGCGCTGTAAGCGCTGATCGATACCCGTGAGAGCTGCTCGGTTCGGCGCCGTTTGTACTGCATCCCTTGGTGGCATGATAGGTCTTGGCCGCGTGTTGGTGACATATGTTTGCCGGCGAGGGGAACGATGGCCACCAGCCGTAGCCGGTTCAACTACTGTAGGGCGGCCATTCTGCACACGCGCACGCGTAGGCGGTGGCTCGGGCGAAGAATGAGAGGATGAGCTAGGCGGCCGACGCAACTCCTGCGGTGCGTACAAAATCGTGTTTGTTGACATTGTCCGGCTGTGTGGCATGCGACGCGCAGATCGAGGAGTAACCGATACGGAGGGCCTACCACTTGATCCCAATGATGAAGATGCCGGGGGTGGTACAAACCCCTTCGTCCTAGGCGTCGTATTGAAGTAATCGTCAATCGACGTTTGGTGTATGACGGGTCCCCGACGGCTGTCGCCAGCGTTCGTTGCGATATCTTCCTCCTCTTCCTCATCATTCGTAACGAGTTCATCGTCGCCGTCTGCATCCGTTTGTTGATTCTCCTCCTCCTTGGCTTTAGCCGCTGCGACAACATTCCGGAAGAAGGAGCCGATGGCAGGCTGTGAGACGAACTCTGCAGGGTCGCTAGCCGCAGATCTGACATCTGATATCTGACGAGATCTCTGTGTCCGCAGCTCTCTAGAGAGGCTGAGCCTTCTATGCCAATCTGGCCGAGCACTTGTGCTTCCGTTCTCCAGGGTCGGCCACTGGGAAAGCTGGAGATGAGGGGAGGGTTCTTCCTCGTCATTACGGTCCATCCAGTTTCGGACCGCATGCTGGGTCTTCTTTCTCTCGTTCCGCCTTTGGTTTCGCAGAGTCGCAAGGCCAGGACCTCGTCGGAAGACCTCCTCCAAGGCATGATCCTTCTGATAGCCAGTGATGGATTCTTCGCGAACGCGCACGTTAGGGCTGAAAAGAGCAGATCG